CAAAAGAAAATACATAAATATAAATATCGTGAACCTATATTCAAAAAGTGCGAACTCAATTTTGGGCAAAGTGAGTTTTTGATGCAAAAGGATTTCTCAATGCATGATCCACGTCTGGTATAAATTTGAAACCAAAAATGTAATATTTGCACGTTTAACAAAATTTTTTGTTAATATGCTATCTCAAAGTTAAATTTTTATTGAAGAAAATAAGTGCTAACTTCCATATAAATTTTACATTTTTTAAAACTTCAAATTTATTTAAAATTTATTTTGTATATTAACAAGATGAACATGCTGAATACAAAACAGGTGAAGATTAATAAATTGAATGTATAGTTTTTAAAATATGATCATTTATATATTTGTATATAATGCCAGTTTTAGACTTTAAATAATGTTTTTCCGAAAAATGAAAAGTTATTTCAGAAATCGTTTATAACACTAAGATCTATAATATTCTATGGTTCCAATTTAGAATTTTGATTATAAAAAAGTCTTTAAATGTGCAAATTATGGAGTATTATTCAAAAAATATTGGTACTTTTTATATTCAAAAACTTTTCATAATTTAAAATATTTGTACTGAGAATAAGCAATAGTAAACAAGCAGATATGCCATGAGTTTTTCTACTTAAATGGTGAAAATGCATCTTATTGGACTTACTGGTTTGACTTATATCCCTTAAAAAAAAAAAACATTTCATAAAATTATAAAATAACGCATATTATTAGAATAAATTTTTGTTCTATTCTTTGAACAAACCATGCTAACTTAGAACAAATATTTGTTTTTTTGTCGACCAAAAAGTGCTATCTTAAATAATTAGCGACTTATGTGCAAAATATTAAAATTTTTTCATAGGTAAGAATTAATAAGGATGTTAAAAACGTATTCTGGAAGAAATATTGTCTTTTAGTGTAATATTTCACGAATTAAATAGTTTTTTTACTTTCCTGAAAACTAGACTTTATTGATTTAGCACTTTTTGAATATAGGGTATCGATATGAGAGAATTTATAGTTATTGTCGCAGCTTTAATTATGGGCCTATGTCGTTTTGACAACGTTTTTGCTTGAAGTTACAGTCATCATCTATAAATATATATATTTTTTTTTTGCCAATGAAAAATATATAATTTTTTCAGAAGCCAATCTGATTAAGTACACACTTTTAATCATGGCATACATAACAAGGTACCAGCACTTGAGATAGAACGAACGATTGTGAATTTTTTTATATGGGGTTTGACAACCGTACGGTGTAAGCCTGTATACAAGTCTATGTAAAATGTTTTTTAAGTCACACAGGTATGTGGTGAAATTACTTTTTAAAAAAAGAATTTTTGGATTATTTAATATGTAATCAAGTTCTACAGTTGAATATATAATTTTTTATTTTTTTCAACTAGGCCCCTTAAATAGAATGCATTTTGTTGTCTGTGCAGTATTTTTTTAATAGTTTTCTTAATTAACCACAACGCTTCAAATCGGAGGATTTCAAATCGCTCGATTTCCATCAAATACCGGATTGTATATTTTTTCTGTGTTATAAATATCAACACAGTCACATAATTATCAACCGATTTGTATACTGTTTACTTAAAATATAACATAAAGCTGAATCTAAAATAATTAATCATTTTTTCACTTGCCAAAACTATTAAGGTCCATAGTCTAAGTATTTTTTAACAGTAATAAAAAGTTTTTTATTCTGGATATTAAGTACTATAACAAATAATATTTATTGGTTTAAATTTATAAACAAAAAGTTAAAATATTTAATTATTTCTCTGTAATTATTAATTGGATAATAACTCCTTGTTGAATCTATACCCTGGCTTGATGATTTCTATTCTTACATCCATGTTCATAAACAACATTTTATTTTGTAAAATGTTTATAACACAAATTTTTCATACCGAATTTGTTTTATAAATTGTTTATAAATCATATTATTATGGATAAGGTTGGTGTTTATTTGAATTTTAAATTCCGTAATATTTTTATTTTTTATTAAGTATACTAAACTAAATCTAATAATATTTTTTTTGTGAAAAATAAGTAAATTTATTTGTTATATTTTCTACGCAGTCCTTAGCTTTGATATCACACTTTTTAAATTTTTCATTTACAATGCTGAGCAAAATAATAGACTTATTTTTATTTGTTTAAAATATTTCATAATAAATATTATCTGGAAGTTTTAATTATTTACTCAAAAATTACACTGAAAATGCAATATTTACAATAGTTCATGTTTTTTCTTTATTTTATTGAATGTAAAAATCTGCAAAAAATCATTTTTCTATTGTTCAAAATAATAGACTTTTTAAAACTTCTTTGAAAAAATATTTTTTATTTCCTAAAAGACCAAAACAAAAATATTTTTTTTATTCATATTATAGAAATTTAAAACCAGGGTGCTCATCATTGGTGTTTAAAACGCATAGAATACTTCCCACTAAGGAGAACTGCCCGGTTTTCTCCGACCTGTTTTTTGCTACGGAGTTGCTGTCAAATAATTTGGTTTATTGAAAAAATATTTTTTTTTAATATGCGGTCTTTAGTTTTAAAAAATAAATATAAAATAAATTTTTTATTAGTCGGATGATAAATAATTATGAAGTTAATGTATCGTTAATTAATTCATAAATATTTAAAAAATTTATAGACGGCCACCGTTTTTCTGAAGGAAGTCTATATTAATTTAGATTTATATTGATCCTCATAGAATTTAGTTTATGACTTAAGTTCATTTATTGCTTATTTATGATTATTAAGTGCGATACTAATATTTATAAAACTAATTAATATAAACACAAAAACTATTTTCTGAAATGGGCCTTATATAGGCATTGGGTCAAATGTGGTCCAATTTTTAAAAAATTAACAGAATTATTTTTGGATCCTTAAAACATAATCCTGAATAATTTTATAACAATTACTGTATAATCGGGACACTTACGAGTTTTTAAGTGGGACTGTGTGGTTAAAAGCAATAAATCACCATCTTTCTTGGACCATAATAATTGTATATACAACATTTTTCCCAGATATCTTCAAACTTCTGATATGTTATTGGAGTCCTTTAAGCTTAGTTAAGTAATATTATTTTTGCTTTTTTACTAAGTAATATTATTTTTGGTTTTTACAAATTGTAATGGTATAGGGTATAAAATTCAATATAATTCCTGGTTTTTACAGTTGATAATATATAATAATCTTTCTATATTCATGTAAAAGTGAAATTAATGAATACATGTATAGTATTTATTTGATAGATTTACTGCATTTCACCCTGCTTTAAACTCGGTAAAACTATTTTAACAAATATTATATCTTTTTCTAAAAAAAGAAAGAATGTTTTTTATAATAACCACTATTTTTATTACTGACAATACTAAAAACGATTGTACCAAAATATTTTTAAAATTATAATTTTTACGAGAGATATATCAAAATATTTCCTTTTTAACTGCCTATTATTTTGCACAGCATTTTTAATAAAATTACCTAACAAAAGTATCCAAATTGTTCCTGTATTTCATATTTGACTATATTATATGAAACACAAAACAACTTTGAAAATTTTGCTTTGAAATTTTGTATCTGACAATTTAATTTTTCTTATCAAATTCACAAACCATCACAAATTTTGTATCTGGCAATTTAATTTTTCTTATCAAATCCACAAACCATCACAGGGTATATACATACATTTTGAAAACTTGGGAGCATTATTATCCATACTTAATTTTTAAGTAGGTATTTCTATCGCTACTTAATACTATGTTCTCATATCCATGTTTTTAACGTGTTTTTTGAAAAACAGAATGAGTTAAAACACAACCGTTCATATATTAAATTATAGTATTTTTTGCTTTGAAATGTTTTTCGGGCTAAAAGATTTACTTTTAAAAATTAAGAAATTCATTTAAATTATACTGAATTGATGATTTAAACACAATTATTTATTAATTTAAAACATTTTAAATTCTTTTTAACAATAATATTGATATTTTTTGTAATTTCAATTTTTAATTTTGACATTTCTTTTTGTTCTAGCTGTGTTAATTAAACAAAAGTACGAAAAAAATCATTCCTGATCTAAAAACATTATGTGTTTTATAATTAAACACGTCGAATTGAGATGTTTTTGAACATGAAAAATGTATGGAAAAACGAGTCGAATTGAAGTGTTTTTTGAAAAAACATGATGTGTTTCAAAAAACACGAAGGTGTGAACGTATTATAAGCTGGCTAGACACTATAATATTCAGTAAAACGACATGTCAAAATTTTTAAATAAAATTAAAAATATTATAGTCTAGATACAGAATGTAATAAAACTTAATGAAAATACGGATGGAAAATTGAAAATGGTATTATTTTAAAATTTTTTTTTTTTTTAAATTTCAAAACGATTGGATTTTTCGTTTTATTTGAGCTTTTTTTTATTTAAACAAAGAAAAACATAAAACAAGAAAGAAATTTCAAATAAAAACAGAAACAAAATGAAAAATTACGTTTTTTCTTTGAATTTTTTCAAATTGAAGTTTCATTTTATATCAAATCTGATAGTGTAAAAACAAAATATATTTTCTATTTGATTTTTTTTTGATAATCATACCAATATTCATTTTATTTTGTTTTGGCAGTATGAAATAAAAATCTAACGACTTCTCTCATAGTGTGTAGGTAGCTTTATCAAATTTATACCTACTTTAATGTACTGAAAATTTATATAAACTTCGAAAAAAAAAAACACAATTTATATATTTTTCAGATTAATCTTTTGACTGTGTATATAATAACGCCTATTCTGGTGAAGAAGTTATTTCACTGCGATATGGCGATGCAAAACACACATCAAAAATAGTAAAGAATAGTGTTCTGAGCATAATTTTCTATTGATGTAGTGTCCAGCTCCATGTCCCCAACCCAATCCAATAGAAAATTTGTGGTGAAACATGAAGAAGCGGTTGAAACAGTACCGATTAACTCCTATCAATTTATGCGAACTTTATCAGCGGATTGAGCAGGAGAGGAAGAGCCATCTAAATAAAGTAAATGAAAAATTGGTAGAAAATATGCCAAAATGTGTAAACATTTATGAACGTAATAACGAATTTTGAAAAATATGTGTTAAAAATGCAATTTTTCCCAAAATTTTTTGTTTGGTGCAAAATGGAGTACATGTGAGTTATTTTAGTTTTGTCTGTTTTTTTTACTTAGAACTTGATGCTTATTGATTTGAATTGCAATTCATTTTGTTACATATTAAACATAAAATAAGTGACAGAAAAACTGTTTGAATTTGCATTATTATTTTTTTTTTTATTCCATGAGAGGTCTTTTGTCATTTATTCTCCCTACTGTATTTATATATGGGCATTTTCATATCTAGTGACCAAACTCAAAAAAACGATTTTGACAAAATTTGCACCAATGTTAGTACTATTGAATAGTAGGCTAGACATCCCACTAAGTATAAACAAAGCTCTTAAAGGAAATGGTCTAACCTTTTATTTGAGAAAAAAAAAAAAGCAACAAAAACGTCCATTTTGAAAAAATAGGGGAAAATTAAGTGCCAAATATTGAAAAAATCTTATTGTTTAGTTAAAAAATATTTTTTTTTGATAGATATCCCACTTGATTCCCATTATGTGACTATAAAAACGTTAAAGTAAATTGTCTAAGATTTCGTTTGAGCAAAAAAAATTGAGGTTTTTGAAAAATTAATAATAACTTATTTAAAAAAAGTTAAAAAATTTAAATTATTTTTGGAAACATTGAAGAAATAGCTATCTGAACTCCTGTGATCAAATTTTATCTTGGAACAATAGATGAAAAGTTTCACGCATTTGTATGCGTGACTAAAATTTGACCATCTCTAGGTCCGGCAGTTCTGGACCGATATTTGAAAAAATAGTTCGTCATTAATATGAGTGCTTACAACCAATGAACATTCGATGATTTTCATGAGAATTTATATTTATTTTAAAGTGCATTATTGAATGTACTATAAAGTATCCTTCTTCTCGAACAACTTCAAAATTTGTTTGCTTGGTTGGTGCAAATTTCATCAAAATCGGAAGACATCGATTTTTAAAGTTGGGTCACTTTACACGAAATGACCCATATGTATATCGACCCTCTATATTCAGAAAGTGCTAACTCAATACATTTTCCAGTTATGGTATAAATTTGGAATCTTTTGGGAACTTTTGCGCTTTTTGTATCAGATTTTGTTATTTTTCTCAAATTAGAATACATATATGCCGCTCATTCGAATAGGTTTACTTCTTTACATTTGCAAAAAATGATAGAGTAATTAGTTATATTAAAATTATAAAAAATTATAAAAATAATCCATCATCCGAAAAAACAAGCAGAATCTGTTGACTTAGTGGCAGTTTTTATGATAGCTCATATGTTTGCCTTTGTTATGACTATATGCTAATTTATTTGCAAAATTCCTGTGACTTAGGACAGTTTCCAAAAACGCTTTAATTTTGCCATTTTCTTCTTCAGTTTGTGGCTTACCGAGAACTACTTCTTAAAAACATCTGAACAAAAAATAATTTATGTCTTTACAAACGACATCTTAATCACATCTAAAAATTCGATTAAATATTTTTTGCTTTTATAAACCAAATATATCCTTACATACCTATACCCTATATTCAAAATGTGCTAACTTTGAGATAGCATATTAACAAAAATTGTTGTTAAAAGTGCAAAAAATACTTTTTTGGGTTTCAAATTTATACCAGACGTAGATCATTTATTGATTTAGCACTTTTTGAATATAGGGTATATATATGATTTAATTTTCTTTTTCCCTTTAAACAAAATGAACATAAAACAAAATAAATCTTAAAAAACAAAATGTATTATGCTCGAATTCAGAAAGAAAAGAAAACAATTTAAAAAAAATATATAAAATTAAAAACTTCTCAGTTTTTGTTAGTGATTTTCATATATAGTTTTAAATATTGTTTTACATTCTTTTTTCTGAATACGAATACGAATATAATTTGTATATATATAATATTTTTTTTATATACATATGTACCAAAATTAAATTTTTAAATTTTATGTCCATTTTTGTCTTTGTAAGAGGTATTATTTTGAAATCAAAATTTACCGACCAATCGAGTAAGATTTTTATACAAAATCATATGAAAAATTTTAATTTGAAGTGACTTCCACAAGTGTTCACAAAAATATAAAATTAAAATATTTTTAAAAAAAGAAATTTCCAGCAAAATAAAAATGTTATACTTTATATTTTAAATAAATATATTAAATTAAAAAGAACACAAAAAAAGCAATAGAAAAGTAAAAACTTTAATAATATTTTTGTTATCCTACTGATACCTTCCCCATTTTATATTTTGCTTTTAGGAAAAGTTTCTTTTTGCATGTTTTTAATAAAATTTTATTAAAAAAAGAAGTAAAAACTTTAATAATATTTTTGTTATTCTATTGATACCTTCCGCATTTTATATTTTGCTTTTAGGAAAAGTTTTTTTTTTTTTGCATGTTTTTAATAAAATTTTGTTAAAAAATCCAAATATAGCAGTTTTCTGCAGATTTTGATATGAATTTTCAAATTACTATATTTAATTTTTAAATATACCCAAAGCTTGCTATTTAAATTTTCGCCACTGTATGTGTATTTCGTACCCATTGTTGTTTACACATTTCAATACTATCCATTATTGTCATGGCAATGCACATATCCTCACGAAAATACATATTATCGCAGTCATTGTCATTGGAACCGCAATTGTTGTTTTATTTTTCTTACGGCATATGCACATTAATACCCACGCTTTAAATGACATTTGGGTCTACATGCACACATATTCTTCTAAATTGTACAATTAACTATTCTTTTGCAAACACAGGCGGTAGCTAGTTACTACTGGTATTCTATTCGAATTATCTAAATAACAATAAACAAGAATAGCAAGGAAACAATACTATACATATCAAGATGCGTGCACAATTATTTATTGGCGGGAAGGACTTTCACATTATCTTATATAGGCTAAGATACGTACAATATTAAAAGATTAAAAAAAGCTTACAAATATCCAAGTTAGTATTTGATTCCTTTATCCATAAAAATAAAAATAAATCTATTAGTAGATGCCGCCGACGTGCATGTAAATGTATAGTACTAAAATTATTTGTATAGGTATTTGCAAATTAGCATAAAATTGTATAAATTTAAAACTTTGGAAAATACTCACCTTTTTCATTATTCCTGTTTTACGTTTTGAAAACGTTGTATAACGTCTCAATTTGTTATCAATATATTCCATTTTTATTTTGACTCGACCTTTCGTTTTTTTACCATTAGCCGGAGGGGACTTTTTGCTCTGTATGTTATAACTTTCATCCACAATATCTTGTACACTACCGCTACTTGATTGTGGTTGCTGCTGGCTATTGTGTTGTACATTTGACGTGCTCCCACAAGCATCCAGGCCTTGAAGAGATGTAATACTACCGGCACTAACACGATGATGGGATTCTTCATAGCAATCAGATCCGGCCCTTTTTAAACCTCTTTGTTGGTTGCCACTGTGACCACTAGTGTTGTTGCTGCCTAAAGATTGGCATTGTGTATTTGACATAAGATTTCCAGCAGAACGGGGTAAAAGTCCTCCAGCAGGACCTCCTCCAACTCCACTAATGCCTTGTAAAATACCCGTGCTCGGAGGTCTGCCTCCTAAAGCAGTTGGGTTCCCGTACATATCTGCTTGATCGGCTAAAGACAATCCAATACTACTCATCGAGTAATTTAAATTATAGCGCGAGTCTCCACGCGAAGGATCCATTCTTAGATAGAAATTATCCACCTCGATGCTTTTTTATTTGGAGTTATAGTAAATTTATTAATTTTTAAAAACGGATTAAATGTAACAACACAGCGCGTTTAAAATATTTTCATTAAATATTTTTGATGAAGTTGATTTGTTTGGTGTATATTTACATCCAAAAATAAACATAAAATACACACAAGCACATCTACATACGTTAACTCACAGGTTTCAGAACACACATTACGACGACCGCTGATGTTTAGCAGCTGTGAACAAATTATTAAATTTTCACAAAATAAAATAAAAATTTTTATGATATTTCACTTTTATCGATAGATTAATCACTTAAATATTTCAATTTTATATACTTTGTAAATATATTAATTTTATTATTTACATTTTCCACATTATTTATAATACATTTGCACCGTACCACCGAAATTTTGACAACTGCAAACTTATCGTATGTTATACTGTCAGGGCGCCCAAATATGTCAAAATGTAGTGTTGCAAAATGATTAAATTTTTTTGTAGAGTTGCATTTACTAACAGTTCAAAGTAATTGGAAAGATAACTGCAGAAAAAATAATGGCTAATATATCCTCTTAAATTGCACTAATGGCTCTGCATATTGACTTAGTTATTGTTAACAAAAAAAAACTGCCATATTCTTCCAAAAATGTAAAAAAACAGACGTGGGTTGATAATATATTATATTATATGGAAGTTAATGCGGTTGCGTTTGCCTTATGTGCTCTCTAGATGGAAGCACAATGCCGAATACGAATACTACACGTTTTCTAATAAATGAAGCGACCATAAAAAAATAAAGCAAAGAAAATCAATTAACAATGAGAATAAGAATCGATAAACTACTCTTAACTAAAAACAGACGTTCGTATATCATAAGCGAGTCATGACTCATGATCAGCGAAACGCAACGAAATGTATTTTCTCTTCTAATGATATTCTCTTAACTACTTCTTAAAGAGAGAATTAAAAACAGTATTATGTACATATTTACATTCGTTGATGGTGTGTACATATATGCATAAAATTTAAAGATCTTTGATTGGTTTTTGTAAAGACCCAGTAATAAACACTTACTTAGAAATATATACATATGTATGTACAATCATACATACATACATACAATTCATGTATGCATAACTATATTGTAAAAACGTATCTATTGAATCGAAACCATAGGTATAATTGAAAACAAATACGTACATAAATATGTATAAATATTTCTCATTTACTATTTCTGAAATAACTTTTAAGCAAATTATCGAATTTAAAAAATAAAATCAGATATATATACCTAGTATGTGTAGTTTAATATATTTCTAATCTGAATTTAAAATAAATGTTTACTTATCAAATTGGTATTTAAAAAAATCTAATTTTATTTTTACCGTTTTTTTTTTTAATTTCTAAAAATAGATGAAACTATGTACATATACATTTTTTAGTGGAAGATTTTATATTGAATATTTTTATAATTTATTTATTTAATTTGTTCTCTAATTTTTATAATCGTTGTTATAAATATTTAAGAAGTTTATTTAAAAAATATATATTTTTTTTTAAATTTATATACAAAATCTATTGTTCAAAATAATAGGAGTATTCGATTTATGTTCAAATATTTTCAAAATAAAAACAAAAAAGAACGTACTTTCATCTAAAATATTATTAATTATTGTGTAGCAGTACATCATCAGTTATTTTTGTCAAGATTTTATTTAGAAATTGGGTATCTGACTGAGCCTACAGAGCTTAATGTTTTCGGACAAGGGGCTTGATGACGCATGTCGTGGCCGATTATCCACAAATATGCAGTAATTTATTCGGAGACCCTTAAAAGACGTTATACGCAAAGTTATTCAACGATTTATTTTACAATCACTAAGTTGACAACCATATCATTGCCTACTTCCTTTGGAAGGAGCTTCCACGATTTTGGAATCAATAATGTTTTCATAACACTACACCGCCATTTTATCAAATTTGTGTGTTGGGAATATGAGAACATATCGCACACAAAGTTCAAAAATGACACAACTCAAAAATTTTGCGCTTTTTTTTTAAGGTGGAAGTACACAACACGCGTTGTACGCGACATCGCGTTATGGGCTTCTGTCAAAAAAATGAAATGGCGTATTTTCATTTAAAAAGTTACACACTGTAGTTTGTATCGCGTCTGCCGCGAAAAGTTTATCAACTTTCTACACGTCGGCAGCTGATCAGGTTTGTATTTTGTTTTGTGTAGAATAAGAATAAACATAAACAAAAACTTAAAATTTTGATTTTTAAAACAGTAATAGTCTTAAAAAACATTAAAAGAAAGATCAAAATGATGCGTGGTGTGTAACTTGCAGCTTATAAAGCGCGAAAAGTTTGAATAATGAAGCTATAAAAAAATTTCATTAGTTATTTATTTTAAGTATGTACTTCACAAACAAATATCTTGAAAAAAACATCGATATCCTAATCGATTTTCTAAAACCATTCGCAAACAAATTTATACTATATTTCCAATGGTTTGAAATCTACTAGATTTGCTTAAACCTCTTCAAGGTGTTTCTACTGAGCTTACTCGTTTTTGATATTCGAATTTTCGAACAAATCCCGTCATTTTGTTTTGATATAACGACGGTTATGTTAATTTCTTTAAAATCTAAACATTAAAAATTCAAAATTACAACTGTAAAGGTATAAATTTGTTTATTAAATGCCACTAATTTTAAAACTATAATTTGTTTTGTTTTTATTTCGAAATGAAAAGTCACTTTATTGATGAAAACATTCAACTTGAATGGATAGCCTATAGTTATATTTGCTTATCCTAGACACAATGCAGTGTTGTATAAACAAATCTTATTCGAAAAAATACATTTTCGACATGTTTTAAATCAAATCTAGTAGATTAAGTAGATTTGGATTTGTCAAAACTGTATGGCAAATCTACATGATTTCAACTAGTTTTGTCCAAATCCACTAGATTTGCTCAAAACGCCTCAGTGGAAACATAGCATTACATATGTTTTTAATAGTAATCTACATGTTTGGGACCTAAACATGTAGATTATCGCGTCGGCCTTATTTATATCGACAATTATCGATTTTGTATTTAAAAAGTTGATATTTTTTAGAATAAATATCGAAAACTTCAAACTTTGAAGTTCAAAGCATTTGCCGGGGAAACTTTTTTGACGTTGAGAAATATGTGATTGATATACTTTTCGACGTACTATTTTATGCTCTCTGTGGAATGGATATAGGCTTGTCAGATTTTAAATCGGCAAAAACACACATCGTAGTTAAAAATGCAGTACAATTAAGTTAAAAAGTACAAATGTTTATTTTCAAAAAAATTCAATTAAATTGTTCTAAAAACGCTAGATTGACATTGTTAGTTACGATTTTTCAAAACAAAATAATTTGAAAGCAACGGCTCTGAAGTTTTCAAGTGCATTTACAAGGGGAAAATATCGATTTGTTAAACAAATTTTTTTAAGAGATCTCATGGGGATTTATGGCCAATAGAACTCGACGGATTTCGGGAAAATCGCAATTTTTTGTAATATTTTAGAGAATACGTATTAATTCTTTACGTTTGCACATTTTAAATAAAGTATTATCAGAGTATTATATATAGTCTGGATAATACAAGTTTTATTAAAATCGAACATTCTTAAATATACTGTGGAGTTCAAAAGTCAAATTTTGCAATATTTGGGAATTCTTAGTGTACCATATCGAAATAATATTTTTTTTGTCGGCCATCTTTACCAAAAATAACTGGAATTTATCGTATATATTCCGATATTTCAAATAGAGTGAAAAAAGGTTGATTAACTCTTTAAGGCACTTGGGAACAATTTAACACCAAAGTTCAAAAATTCTAAAAACACTCTCTATTTGAATAATGCTCTATATAACAGAAATAAAACAAAAGATTCTATATTAAGTATAAAAACTTCTGAATTAACCCTTTTTGACCATATAATGTTTGTATTTTTTGACGTATTAGATTGAAAATCGACCGTAAAAAAGATTACGTAAATTATCAGTTTTAAAAACAAAATGTTTCTTTTAAAAATGTGCACCTCAAGTTTACTCCATAGTCAAAAAGGGTTAAAGTATAATTTTTATACTTAATATAGAATTTTTTGTTTTATTTCTGTTATTCCTCTATTTATATAGAGCATTATTCAAATAGATAGTGTTTTGTCGAATTTTTGAACTTTGGTGTTAAATTATTGCCAAGTGCCTTAAAGGGTTAATCTACCTTTTTTCACTCTATTTTAAATATCGGACTATATACGATAAATTCCAGTCATTTTTGGTAAATATGGCCGACAAATAAATATTATTTCGATATTGTACACTAAAAATTCCCAAATATTGCAAAATTTGACCTTTGAACTCCACAGTTTATTGACCATAAATCCCCATGAGATCTCCTAAAAATTTTGAAATTTGTTCAACAAAGTTTAAAAAAAACTGAAATTGGAAATTTGAAACCTCCGTTGAGAAAATCAAACTTTTTTGACCATAGCTGAGAAGAAGTTTGAGTTATATTATAAGGGCAAAACCTAATATTCGAGTAATTATGGATATATTATAAGTAACAAAATGTTTTTTTAGAATATATCCCCAAAAACGTAAATTTTTTTGTCACATTTCGAATTCATGTGCCGTGGGACACGTTAATGGCCTGGGGAAATTGCAATAACTATTAAAGTTTTCAAGCAATTTTTGTGTTTTATATCTTTCCGAAATGCTTACTCTGTGCACATTACGATTCCTTTACAATAAAGTTCAATTTATTACTAAATGGCCAAATTTGAGAAAAACTGAAAAAAATCGATATTTTCCACCTGTAAAAAAAATTCAACTTTAGGTCGAAAATTTATGAATTTCTGAAAAGAAGACTAATTTCCAATCCGTTGATATGTAATACGTCTACCTTGTCATTTTCACATGTAAAATTAAGGAGGAGATATTTAACATCTCATGGTAAAATTGTAAAATTGTGACTGCAAAAATTAAATAATACGTATGTCACGTATTCAATACAATGATGAAAAATCAAAGGGTGACAATTTTATCATGAGATGTTAAATATTTCCTCCTTAATTTTACATCTGAAAAGAACAATGCAGACATGTTACATATCAATGGATTGGAAATTCATAAATTTTTTAGCAATTCAGAAATTCATGGAATACTTTTGTAAAAAATGTGGCAAAAATATTTTTTTTTTAATTTTTGCGAATATGAAATTTCTATTTACGAATATTTTTTAACGAAAATTTACAGTTATGTAACCCTTTTCATTAAGAATGTAAAACTTAAAAGAAATTGTTAAATTTGTTAATACAAATCCCTCAATTTCTCAAAAAATTTTGATAAATCCCAAAAATTGATTTTTTTTAGTTTTTTGACCATAACATCCATACCAAGCTCGGGGTTATCGAAACCATTTACAGAATAATTAACAACATATTGGGTCATTTAAAATGGGTCACTATAATTTGATATTGATTATGCAATTTGAGAATTTAAACTTTTCCATACCACAAACAAATTTTTAACAATCTGCAAAAGTAAAATTAAGATTATAAATTTAACACTATTGGAAATCATCATATGGGCAATTCCATGAAAAGGTAAACTACGACTGAAAAAATAAAACCCTTATAACTTCTGCATGTTTGAAGATAAATCAACAAAACTTTGTATATGA